AATCCATTGCCATGCTTACTGCCATTACTTGTTACAGAATACAACATTAGGCCTCTTGAATGATAGCTGTGCATTTACATCCAACCCTGAATGAGGACAAACATTGTGTAATTCAGTGAGTGTTTTATCTATTTTTTTTATTTAAAACTATTAAATGAAGGAAGAGGTCATTACTGCATGCTAGGACAATCACAGCGTAAGGTAATTGCTATTTCAATTATGTTACCTCAACTGTAATTGCAGAGCATTTTACAGTCATTCAGTTTTGGTATTCTCAACATGTTAGTATTATTTAAATATACCTCTTTCCACTCATTCAACTACAAAATCAACCTTTAATCATTTTTCCTCCATCACCCATGACCTTCCAAGAACATACATTTATAAATGTCAATGAAGTACATACCGGTATATATGCAGGTATCACATCATATTAGAGATAAACATTTCAGGGTAAATGGAGCACATGCTTATTTAATTTTATTGATTGTTATATTATTAATTGTACATATTAAGACATGACTGCTTGAAACAATAATGTGTGTCTGATATATTTCCACAATAAAATCTTTAAAAAATGCATCTAGTCCTTCATTAAAAATTCCAAAATCTATGAATATGCAAAAGAAGTTTTCTGAAGTGTTCCTGCTGGACACAACATGTCTCCTATTTGCACTGGTGGTTCAAGTTTCTACATCACACTTGTATATGTTGCACACTGGACCAGAATTGACCAAACTATGTGTGATGTAAAAATCATGCTGATTTTCAATGAGCACAGAGAAACTTTCCACTTTCAGCAGATGAATGTGAAAACATGCTTCTAGTGTCAAAGTCTGCAAGTATCATTCTGCACAGTGAAACTCAAACATCCAACTGTAGGAAAAAGATGACAAAATGATCTCTGAGGGGTGGGGGACTTTAGGGATAGTAGCAGTGAGATGATAATTTATACTAACCTCTGTGAAAGTGTTGACAGTGGGCATTTTCCTTATGTTGCTTCTGTTAGAAAAAGAGAAAAGAAATTGAGGGTTAAGAAACCTATTGACCCATGGCTGTAGCCTCTCTTGCCTTGTTCCATTTTGGTCTTAATATTTGTTTCTTTAGCTAGGGAACCTGTCACATAGACTAATGGTCAGCCCTGAGGTCCACATATAATGTATTTGCCTTGTACATTTACCAATTAATCATTAGACTTTTACTAGAGGTTGATAAGGAAACAAATTCCGTCAATAAGGTTACTCTCTTTCTCTAACACACACACACACACACACACACACACATTGATGTTTCTATTATAAAACTGACCAGTGGTTATATTACCATACATTTATATGTTAATGTTTGAGCCCTTTTTCCTCTCTCTTATTTGGTCGGGCTGACTGACACTTCAGCACCTACACAGTCAGGAAGCCAAACAAAGCTACTTTTATGGATGGACCATTATACAAGAGCTGCATGGGGAATCTGTGAGAATGCAATCCAGGTGTCATTGCCCCTTGGTAATCTCTCTCATTTTCAGGATTCATTTTCTCAGCAGCTTCACTTGAAAATGACATTCTGACACCATTTACATGGAAATCACTTTGCCTCTTCATCTGTAATAGCGGCCTGTGCTCAGACAGGACCTCTCTGAGGGCTAGACTATTAATGGGCATAAACAGAACGAAAGAAAGAAAGGAAAATAAGGATTATAAAATGTGTAGAAAGAAAGAAAGGAAGACAGACAGACAGACACACAGACAGACAGAAAGAAAAAAAAAGATCATTAAATGTGTAGAAAGAAAGAAAGAAAGAAAGAAAGAAAGAAAAGAAAGATGATAAAATGTATGGTTTTCAGGGTTAAAGCCAAGGTCAGAGCTTTGGGTATTAAGGGATGAAGAAGAGATGTAGACACTGAGGGAAAGCATAATGAGGGAAATTCCTATTTTTCCCCTTAAACATGTGTATCCTGTCTCCTCCTCTCTCCTTCCCCCTACCCCTCTTTCTCACACACAACAGAGAGATGTAAAGATTTTTCCTGAAAGAAGAAGAAAAAAATCCACCAGCAAAGCAACGAGTAGGTGCTGAGAGGAATGCATAAAGGTCGCAATGACAAATATTTGAATATGCGAAGAGATTTGATTACTATGCATGTGTTTTATCTTGTAAGAAAATTCCTTGATAACATCAATCACTTCTCTGTGGTGGTCATCAAAAAGTGAACCAAATACTTGAAAATGGACTTATACAAAGACCTGTGTTTGTGGAATAAAAACAGCATTATTTCAGTGCAGTCTTAACCAGCAACCGAGCATCACACACATACTGGATGCATCTCCATACACACTGCACAAACTTGGACTTGCACACTGTCACTTGTGTCCTCAAGCATAAATACGTGCTTACACACATACACCATAGAGGTGGGGTTATCTTGTCAAGTCATATATCAATGTGTGGGGTATGATAATGAATGTTGAAAGTGGTTTCTATAGGCCATAGATCACAATGATAAAATGATTACAGGTATCACATATTTAGATTTTTTTTCTCATGATAAGATGTTGTATGTGTGCTGCCATTATGCATTTTATAAAAATTCCTGTTTGTTGAATTTCTGTGAGAAATGGGGGGTAAATGTGGAGAATTAATGTTATTTGATTGGATTAACACTGCCTCCACCTGGCATTATTGTAGCACTACTTGATGAAGAGCTCATGCAAATGTGCATTGATAAAACCCCAACTACCTTTATTATTTCCCATTTTCTTCTAGTGTTTTTTTTATGAAAACTGATGAATTTAAACCCTTCATTTTAAAACGACACTTTAGACTCATCATTACATCCATCCAGCTTGCAAAACTCAGGTACAGTAGAAAGCATTGCATTAACGCAACAAGTATAGTATTAAGTAAATCCTTTGTATTACAAAGTCAAAATAATCATTGTGATTTTAAGTCAAATTTTTACATTCAGCAGTAGTTGTTTCTTGACCTGACACATGGAGGCAGAGCGGGATAGGCCACAGCAGAATTTCGACTTAATTGCAGAGGAAGATGAGTGTTACTAATAACATTAACTGTGGTTGGATTCTATTACTGTCCCAGTAAGCCATTGCAGTGTGACAGTGAGGCAGTATTTTCAAGTCAAGTCTTCAGAAGCAAATTTTCAAGTCGTGTTGGCCATTAAAATAGCCTGTCTATCTTGAGAAATATTCATGGGGTGGCATGGAGACTGTGGCAGAAATATATGCTGATTTATTCACAATCACATCACACATCAATATTTGCTCCATATGAGGATATTTTACCTAAAAAACATTACATAGAAATATTGAAAGATGACTTTAGAACTGAACCCCTTTTAGTCTCAATGTGGCCAAAACACATCTTTAAATACATTTCCATTTTTGAACACGCATTAATATTAATCTATATGAATGACAGCATTTGCCACCAAACT